CTGTGACCTTTGACCTCCGCGGGAGAAATGAATCACAGAGTGGTGAAGCAGCACCGACTCGCAGCCCGCTTTGAAAAATGTAAGATAAAACGCTGCTGCTCTGCTGTGACTGCGGCTCACATTCGCCAACACGGGACAGGAAGTACAATTGAGCTGTTTACTTTGTCCTTCAGCTCCATCATGTGAAACCCTTGCGCTTTAACTAACGGCTCTCTCTTTATCTTTTGAGAGCACTCGGCGAACTCCGTCCGCTCGGCGGTATTGTATAGAAATGGAAGCGAAAGGCACGGAAGTTAGTTGGAGGGAAATGCTCCAGCAGCTGCTGCAGACTGGCACTGACAGAGAAAGTTTTTTGGCATAAATGAGTAAAGTTCAGCCAGAGAACACGAGCTGCACTGTCTCCGTTGCTTTCTTATGCCTCTGAATTTTACATCGCAAACAGTCTGTAATCCTCTAAATTCTCCTTCTAACAGTGAAGCAAAAATGAATTTTAAATTGAATTGTTTTTAATTGAAATAAGAGTAGCAATCAACTACATTGAATTACTAAGGTAGAACATGAATGAATGAATTCACAAAATCTACTTGTCCAAGATGTTAAAGATTAAAACGATTGAGAAAATCAGAAAAAGTAAAAAAATGAATTCACAAAATCTACTTGTCCAAATCAAAATACAAAAAAAAACTTTGGTAAAAACCTACTGTAGAGCTAAAACATTTAAATAAAAATGTACATATATTAAGCTACAGATATGTGGTTGTAAGAATTAATGCTGGTGACTTCCAACTACGGTGCCGTGGCACAAAATTATCATTTTTTACACTGCAATTAAGTTGCCTTTGTTTGCCTGACCAACAGTGACAAGCAGACAATTTAATACCTTTCCACCAGATGGCAGCAGCAGATATGTATATAAACTAAAAATAAAACAAACAAAAAAAACAAGACATAGCTTCATGTGTGTTTCTTCAATTCCTGCAGGTATATCCAGAGTGTGTTCAACTAAACAGGCCAGGGTGTCACACTGAGTAAATAAACTGAGAGTAAACTGAAACTAGAAGATCCCTTTTTTCATTATGCTCTACATACTTTTTGTGACAAGTACAGGTCATATGCAGTGGGGGTTTTCTAACGCGATAATGTAAGAACATAATAAACCCCAGTTGTTGCCAGTTAGCTGGTCCATCAGTGTACAGTAAAATGAACAACACCCTGAAAATGTAGACTATAAATCACAGACGATAACCAGCTGTACAACAGTTCCAGTGTCTGAGCTTGTGATTTCACTAGAATATTACCATAAATTACTGTGTTTTGTATTCCTCAGTAGCATTAACAAAGTACTGTAAGTGACTCCCTCATACACAGGCGGGTTTCTAATGAGCATCAGGCTGCTATCATAACATAACACCACATAACAGTCATGATCTGAATAATGGATAGAAAAGTAGAGACCATCACTTAACAGCTTGTCATATCAATTAGGCAGCTGTTTTAATGACTGGATCACAGTCACATCTCCATCTCCATCTCAGCGTATTCACCCGTCCTCACCTCCCTCCCTCACCACCTGCTTCCCTACCATTTTTTTTCCATTTTGAGGAAGATGACAGGAGTGGGAAGGACAGAGAAAATGGAAACGAAAGCCAGCACAAAGGATTGTCCAGGAGAAACGCAAAAGAAAAGACAAAAGGAACAGAGAGGGAAACACAGTAGAAGGACAATGGAAGAAGAGGAAGAAGAAGAAGAAGAAGAAGGGAAATCCATAGAGGTTAGTGAGGAAAGAAATGGGGCAGAGGAGAAAAGGAGAGATCTAGTTGAAGGATTGTTGGAAAGAAGACAAAAAGGGGAAAATAAGAAGGAGGGGAGTGGAGAAAGAAGCAAAAGAAGGGAGAACCAAGGAGAATGATGGAATATAACGGTGTCTCCTGTTACAAGTAGGACCTGAGACGTGATAATTGATACAAAAGATGAACTGATTACATGTGAACTGGGCCGGACCAGTACAATCACAACATATATTACCTAAACATAACAGTAAGTCCATGTTTTTCTTAATTTGTTTTGTGCTAATAAGTACAAGTTTATTAGAAAATCGTCATAGTCAATTAAATATAATTGGACAAATTAAATCACAAACATGAAGTGTTGAAATTTATCTAGCGGGCCGGACTGAACACCCCAGCGGGCTGGTTTAGGCCCGCAGGCCTTATGTTTGACACCCCTGAGCTACATGTATATAAAAACATGCATACACTTACATATGCACACATACACATTCATGACACAAAGCATACACTTACAAATGCACACATACAGATGTACTTGCATAAATGCACACATACACATTCATGACACAAACACACACATTATATACATACACACATATATTGTATAAACATACATATATATTACCCACAGATGTGTAATAAAAAGCCCCCCCACCGCAGTATCTTTGAAGATCCACTGCGTGTTGAGCGCCTGCTGTCGACAGTGCCTACTATAAACCATTAACTAAAAGGGAACACAGCTATAAGAAAAGAAAGGCTACGCTGGGAGACCAAAGAAGCGTCTGAAATGGAACAGCTGTCAGGGTTTTAGACAGACAGCGAGAAGAAGACAGGACAACAACTGTCAACACCTGCCGATATAGTTTTGCCTGAGTGAGGCAGAAACCTCGCTTCTCTCCAGACACGAGGAATACCCACGACAGGACGTAAAGAAAACACCCCAACAGCACGGACACATTCAGACGTGTCCTGAACATATGTACAATATACCCAGGGTGCACGTTCTACCTGTCAGGGGTAAACAACTCTTTTCTTCCCGACATCTGTCGACACGCACAGTTTGATCGCTGCAGCGTTCGGGAAGCTTTTATTTTCACCAAACTTTGCGTTGGCTTCACAGTCAGGACTGACGACTCCAACTCCCTAACACTTCCTGCCTGGCAGAGGCTCTGTAAGGCACGCCATCGTCTTGTATTTCCATACGTACTTGCAACTATTTACAGTAAGTACAGCAGAAAATCTCTCTTTTTTTTTTTTTTTAAAGTGTCCCCTGGGTGCACTCAGAGCTTCTCAAAACTGCAGTTTCCTTTTACAGACCGCAGGCTTGGAATAAAATCACTCCTCCCTGTAAAGTACACACAGTGCCCTGCAGGAGATTTATTGCTTTTTTATATGAAGAAGCTTTTCTTAAATTAATGTATTTAAATGAGATTAAATAAATGACTACACTCTAGTTTTTCCCCCAATTTTAAGCAATGATATTATTATGAACTGAAAAAAAATCCTCCATACAGTGGTATAACTTGGAAGTCATAGTTTGGTGCAGAGGATGTCATAATGCAGAGACTGGTGAAGAGCAGAGCTGGGAGACAGGAGGAAGAGAGGCTTTCACACCCACTCCATATCACAGTGATGTGGAGTAGTAGTTAGTATTTCTGCCGTACACGTGTAAGTCTGTACTCATCACAGTACTCATCGTCACTAGAGTTACACCAGCAGGGGGCGATAATTCGAGCCACACAACCTTTAGCAGTGCTCATTTTCTCCACTAAAGTGTTGTACATGTGAAAGTAAGAGGCATATTAGGAATGGAAAAAATGAAATGACGTAACTTTATGAGAATAAAGTCATAATATTTCTAGAAAAAAAAATCGTAATCTTACAATAAACTCAGAAGATCCCTCATCGTCTAGCTAAAGCTAATTGAGCTAGCGTATCATGAAAGCGGCTCGGTTTTAAAAGTTTTGACTCTAAAAGTTATTTCATTGTGGGTAAGGACACCAAACTTTTTAATTTTTAAGTTGCGTTCCAAGTCCCACCGCGAAATGGGAAAATTCGCCAAGTCCTGGCAAGATAGTTATTATATTATTTACTCATATATTTAGCCTTAACGAACCTCCGCCACACTTTTATCAACAGTCGAACTAAAACAGTGCCCTCCTGTGTCCAACTTGGGGAATTACCCTACATTAATAAATGATCACCAAATACAGTATACAGTATACAGATTTTCCAACAGTACGTACTGTACATGTTTTTTTATGTATTATCTTGTATGTATGTGTTGCAAAAAGTCTTTTCATTTATTTAAATACTGTTTTCTCTTTTAGGCTAGCAAATAATTATTGTTCTTGAAAATAATGAAAAAAAAATGCGATGTACTAAGGGTGCGAAAGGAGAACTGCGATATAGCGAAGGAACACTGTATATATATATATTTTTTAAATCCACTGTTAAAACCTCATCCACTAACTTCTCTACTAGCATCAAACAAAGCCAGTCTTGAATCATCTACCGACTGCTATTCCACACGGAAATTCCACACAAATTGGATTAACAACAATTTTCTTGTTAGCGATCATTAAGACTTCAAAAAAATTATGAAAGGAACCAGCAGAGAACATCCAGACGGAACAGACGTCAACAAATGGACCAGGAATGGTGTTACTAATTACTTCTCATTCTACTTTGAGCTTTTCTTACTGTGTTATTTTGTTCGTCAGACTGTTTTGTTTTGTTTTTTTTTGTGAAATCTGTGTGCTGCGTCTTTCCAGTCTTTTCAGAGATAAACATTCATTGAAATTAAAACACCATCTGTTTATTCAAGCCTCGCATTAGTGTAACCTTGGAGTGTTTATCTGTTTTTTGGAGAATTTGTGGCTTTGTAATGTTTGAGGCAAGGTCAACACTACCTGGGACAAGAATATACTTCTCACAAACACACGTACACACACCGTCACAGAACAGTCACAGCTACAGTCTCTGTCCCAACTTCCTCTCCTGCAGCAGCCCCAGCAGGGTGTGACAGCAGCAGACTGGAACACAGAAACATTCAGTTGCCTGTGTTTCAGAGAGAGAGCGCACGCACACACACGCACACACACACACACAGTTCATCTGCATCACATTCTGTCTCTTTCTTCTATTTTTCCCCTCTCCAACTTCTGCTGCTTCTCATTCTCATGTTCCTCTCCAGTTGTGTCTTTGTACCTGTTTGACAGTCAGTCCAGACCTCTCCCGTTCCCTCTTCCTCTTTTCTTCTCTCGCAGCGTCTCCTCTTGTCCTTGTTCTTCACGTCTCAACCGCTGTCACCCTCTTTCTTCCTTTCTTTCTTTCTTTTTTTCCTGCACGTCAAATTACATTGAAGCGTCAGATCAAAAGAAAGAAACATCAGCCGAGGTATGGTAAGATTTTTCTTCCAATCCTGTCCACGTGTACTTCATTGCTCCACACTATTTATATGACAAAACAGAACAAAATATTATAGAAATATAAAATGTAATTGTGACTCCATTGTGTAATTAGCAAAGCTATGTCAAAAAAAGAAAAAAAAAAGTCTTTAAATACTAATTCTCTATCACTTTATTACTTTTTATTACCATTTAACCGGTAATTTAAATTATAAATCTTATTATAAAGCTGTTCGGTTGGAGACGAAAGCAAAATTGGATTACTTATGTTGAATTTACAAGTCATTTTTAAATAGTTTAGCCTCAAATGAATTTAATTTAAATGTTTTGTTTTAATATTGATATATATTTTTAATTACATTGGTTAAGAAAGACACTATTTGTATTTTTAATTACGTTGGTTAAGAAAGACACTATTTCAGGATTTAAAACAAAGTTTTTTTCTGCAGTTTCTTCTCACAGAATTGTGTTAAGTGTGAACGTGTGTTTCAATAGTTGGTTGGTGGACCTCTGTACATAGCCCCGATAATAAATAAGTGACTACACCAGGTGTCAGACATCACATGACTAATGCACTGCCACAATCCCCCTAATACAGCCAGTTATTCTAACATGTCATTAATTGACTTAAACAATACTTTCATTAGCACATTCTCCATGGCAACCACTCCTGCTCTCCACAAACCCTTGAATCGTAATCTGAACAAACGAAGTGTTGTGTTTTTCTCGCCCCTATAAATGAGCGGGCTTATGAAGCTCCAGCATTGGAATTCCACTCAGAGTCACTCACTTAATGCTGACATCACACCACCAAGAAAACAGCAGGAGAATCTAAACCTGGAGACGGTTATTGCTCCGAGGATAAAACTCCCGCTAACAAGAGGAGCTAGTGCTAACAGCTAGGCGAGGTGTCTTGTCAAGAAGAATGAGCTTTTAATGCTTTCTCATTTCCACTGACCAGCCCCAGCTGCGAGCCTCAGACGTTTCGGCCTGAAATTCTGTTCTTTTCTAACATCACCGACGTCTATTACTTTGAAAATCAAATCGAATTCAACAAAACAGGGACGAATCTAAATCATTTGGTAGACTCTTGGCCTATAGCTGGTGATAGAAACGTCTTTCCAGAATCTTTTGGTTCCTGAAACAGCCTGTTTTCCAAATGTATCGTATGTTAAATCTTTCATTAATTTAGAACAAATATTGAACTAATCACGCGTGTAATGTAGAAAGATGTGAACATTCCCACAATGTTATTTTGTTTGTTTTAGCTAGTTGTTCAGTCACACCAACAAGTGTTTGAGGCCTGGAGATCATTGTTTTGATTGGTCTAATAAAGTTTGTGTTGACATTTCATCTTTTACATTTCACATTTATGGAAAAGGGGGCAAAAACACAAATACGTTTTATTTGGTTTTTAAGACTTTAGGATCTTTATTTTTGCTCTCACCTTTGCTGTAGCTAGCACATGATCACCCTGTGGTTTGGAGGAATGAACTGCCAACCTTTGCCCCGCCCACTAAAGTCCTTTTATGGCAACTTCCTGTGGGAAGGTGCCATGTTTAAAAACAGAGGAAGGGGAGAATTTGGAATTGGGTGGGGGAAAAAAAATGAATACATTTAGATTTTAACTTGACTTCACAAACTTTACCATGAAATAAAAAAAATGTAAAAATGGTATTTTTTAGCTAAACAAAATAAAGGAGGCCAAATGTTAGCTAGCAGTAAAAATATAAAATCAGGTCAAAAGGAGTCAAAAGTTGTTTTTTTTACACACAAAAAGCATAAGTATTTCTTTCCTTGAATATGATATGAGTCCGTTTTTGTTCTGTATATTTGGATTTAATCTGCATCTTTTGTGAATGGTGATTTTTTTTTCCTCTAAATTATTTTCTTGGCAGCGTGACAACATAATTATAACATGCTAGTACGGCAAGAACAGATAAATCCCAGTATGGATTTGAAACCACGGAGATCACCTTCACCCGTAGATGTACTAGCAGGCAATGTTCCCTCTAATTTTTCATGTATCTGGGCATACACACAAGCTCCCTGAGCAAACTGAGGACTACTGTGAGCAACATCAGATATGCGCGCTTTATTTTTAAATAAGTAATTTGGTCCACTCAAAAAAAAGACAATTTTTAATACTGCACATAGTCTCATTCTGCACTATATCATTGATTGAGTTCACAAATTCAAAGGCATAGTTTTTGCTTCGCCAGCTTTCTGGTATACTCACGTACTTTGCCATGTGATCGTGGATTTGTTGAACTGACAGCATTGATGCATTCATTTTGATGGCAAGTAAAATATTGTCAATGAGAACTTTAACTTGTTCAGGGTCCGATTTTGTTTTGTGTGACAACTCGTTCCTTTTCTCTCGGTCTTTTGCGCTCTCCCGCAATAACGTACCAATCCCCTGCCCCATCTTGAGTCTTCGTGTAGTTTCGACAGCCTTTAAATGACTTTTATGCTGAACGTGACGCTTGAGATAATCCAGCTTCCATTCAATCCACATTTTTCCCTCTGAAAACTCACTTGCTACTTTGGCATCGCTGCATGTTTTGCAGAGTAGACCTTTCTCACTTGAAAAAGAAAAAATCTCACTCAATTTCACCGCTTTTTCTTCAATTTGCACATACTCCGACAACCATTCCATCTTAAAAGAACTGCATTTCTTTTTCACTGTGGCTTGGTGAGTGGTTGTGTCGCTGCCTGTTCGTTTCGCCATGATGCAGGGTTTGTATTAGTATCTATTAACCTGCTAGCTAACCTGCACGGCTCATATAGGTAGAACCCAGACGCAAGCACCGTCAATGCCATGATTGGCTTCGTACCGTAAATGAACCGTATTGTATCATTGGCTGGACACCTGTCACCCCCTGCGTGAGAAACAAAAAAACAATATTATTGGGCGAATTAATTAGATTAGATTAAGTCTAATATTGGATTTTAATTAATGCGTTTATGCTTGATGTTATTTATGCGCTAAATAGATTTTCTAGTGCGCGATTGCGCACGCGCGCAGCTTAGAGGGAACATTGCTAGCAGGGCAGCCCGCCTTTACAGATCAAAGCCTAATTACATGCACAATTGTGTGTCCAAATTAAATCTATCTCATTATGCCGCACACATAGAGAGAGAAAAAAAAACAGTGTCGGTGGTCAAGTCTTAGCAGCGCGACGTGAGGTTATTCCCAAGTTTTGTGGAGTTAATTAGTTTGAGTGATTGTCTCATTAGCTTTTCTTTGTGATTCGGGTCTCCAGCTCACTCTTATTAACAAACAATTTGAATTTGAATTTCAACATTGTTTCTTACCGAGTTGCTTTGAGACCCCGAAGTCTCTCGCTTTGCCCAATTCACAAAGCCAGACCCAAACACTCTAATGGGAAAAACACATTCTAATTAGAATATGTTTAGATACAATACACTAAAATTAAAAAAAATTGAGAAAAAATTAAAAAAAAAATTAACTAATGAGGTTTTTTCACCTCATGTGAATTAGGGGGGAAAATCCTAAAAAAAAATTATAAAAAAAATTAACTAATGAGGCTTTTTCACCTCATGTGAATTATGGCTCCTGAGATGGAGTTACACTTGACTTACTTTGTGTTTTTCCCTTCAGTCTTCAACCACTAAGAAAGAAATGTGTCATTTCCCCCGACATTGACGTGGACGTCATATTCATGGGGAACAGCAGACAGCACAAACACGAGAGGAGGGAAGATGGCACACGAGCTGCGGCCCCCGATGCTGGAACACATGGCTGCTCTAATAAGCAATAAAATATTAATAACTGGATACCAGGCGCCTGTCTGGATGCTTTTATGTGCTCCCATTCAGCTGAATGCTGCCTCTAATGTGCCTGTCGCCGTGAATCTGATACCTGACTTCACCTCCCCTCAGATGGCTGTCTTCTCGCATCTCCAAAAACGTCCAACACCTCCTCCAACTGTTGGTTCTGCTTATCAGCAGCTGGTGGTCAATTGAAGCTGGCACTGTACGAGGTGTCGCCAAAACAGATGCGACGTCAAACGTCCCTGGGGGATTTTCTGGCATTCGGTAGAGGGGTTTCTCAAATGCTGGTCTGTGTCATCGAAGTGGTTCACATGGTCGAAACACAGTGGGCCGATAGATTTGATTAAAAAGCGAGTTTGACTATGACATTGCTGTTGGACAGACTCAGACAAGTTCGCTTCCCAAATTCCCAATTTCTCAGGTTGGTCTCGTTCCGATAAGCCAAAATAGTTGAAGACTCTTCTCTGCCATTTGTAAACATCCTGAGGCCTGGTGGTTCAATAACTGGGCTGTAATTGGAGGACTGGTTGGTCGAATCCAAAGCACTGTGGTATGTCGAGCTACCGCTAAAGACAACGCCGCTCCCTGGGTGCAGTTCAATGCTAATGGGAGCTCCTGTTTGATGGTTGGATTAAACCTTTGTTTTGTATGTATTTCAGTAGCAGGACTTTTGTGTCGGTGCTGCGTTCATGTTGACTCACAAAGATCAGCTTCTGTACCAATGACGCTTGAGTTGAGATGAAACACATCATGTGCTGCCAAACTGAGGTGACGAATAAACTGACTCAAAAAGAGAGCAAAACCACAAGTACCGACTTCATACTCTGCTGCCTCCATCTGTGACAGGACATAATCAGTCTTTTACCTTTATTTTCTTACTTATAGTCTCAACTAGACATCAGGCAGCAGTAGAGCAGCTTGTCACAAATCTGACCGCCGCAAATACGTTTGGTGAAAAAAGTCAGAATTTCATATCATTACCGACCTAATGTATAGATTATATGGTAGAATAATGACTCCATTTCATCCTCTTTCTCTTACTCAGGTCCATGTCACGAGGGAACAAATCTCGGCGGAGAGACTCCGAGCTTCCGAGCTTCTGAAAACAAGTGATTTAATTTCTTAGTGAAAAGATCAGAATTCTTGGCTGGGTTCTGCTCCCAAATGGGTCTGCTCCTCAAACCATCCCATTAGTGCCATCTGGAAGGAGATCCTAATTAGATGACGATACACCGCAGGTGCTCCCGCTGTATAAAGACCTAAAGACCTTACGTAACGCCGGGTGTCCACTGTCCTTACACTGTCTTTAAAGGTGACCGCCGCCACCCCGCCACTCATTCCGGGGCATTTATATTCATAATCTCATTCCTGTGGTCCTATCTGAAAGCCCACGCCTGTCAAGGTGAAAACATAAACCAGCAAATTGAGAACCTTGCCCCCAGCTACATATTACTTTTTTTTACTGCAAATGACCAGTGTTCATTTCCTGTTCGTTCGAATCCCCGTTCAGAACTGAGCCCCAGCATGGCTCAGCCTCTGGAACTACGGTTCTGACCAACAAGACCTCTGACTTTGACCAAATCCCCAACCGGACACTAAGCTAAAATGCTTTCATCATTTTCTAGGCCATCTATTGGGGAAACGTGGGTATTGCAGGGAAATGGCAGAAGTATATATATATATAAATTAGAAAAGTTTGGAAAAGTTTGGCGGGCCAGAATAAAAAGCTGAACGGGATGCATCCGGCCCCCAGGCCTTAGTTTGCCCAGGTCTGGCATAGACCATCATTTAAGTTTGAAAAAATGTAAAAGTCATTATTTGTACTACAACATACTAAGAGTCACAGAATTAACATCGTGCTCACCTGTTGATCACGCAACACTGCTGGCAAAATTAAAAGGATGATTCTTATCTCATTCATAACCTTGACAATTGACAACAGCCGTAATTTCACGCACGACCGTGGACGACCGGATGTCGCACCGCTGACTGCTTTGACACAATACTTTTTTTTTCTTCTTTTTTTTTTGCAAAATCTTTAATTTCATTTGTTGAATTTGGACATACTTTGGTTGTGTTATTGTGACGTTGAAGAATGAAGGTTAACGTTGGTATGAATGCAGAACGCTGCTCTCTGCTGGTATAATCAGAGACAGCAGGATTCCCAAGAGAGGTAAATCATGCGGCATCACTAACTCTCAGGATTCTGAGAGGTGACCTACAAAGATGTGCCTTCCTGTGGTTAAATGAGGAGTATTTGGGGTTATTGTTATTGAACAGAGAGGATGTAGTTGACACTTCTCACAGGCAGAGGGTGCTATAAATATATTTGCTAATATATATAAATATATATGTACATGTGACCCCAGAAAATAACTGTCACTAAAATATTTTACACCAATATATTTACACATTGTAGTTTATGTTCAATTTGAGTTTAAAAAAAATGTTTATAGCTTCAGTAGTAGTTCCTACCAGCTGAACTATACCAGAAACATTTACTTTGTTGTTTATTGCTTTTGTTCCTCCTACTACGGCCGCAGCCTGAGACAAATAGTCACCAATTGCGATTGACCCGATCTGAAGTGAACGCGGCCTTAATGAGATTAGTTCCCCTCGTTTGACAAGACATTGTCTCCACGGTGAGGGAAACCTTAAAGCTCTGCACGGCTCCTCGGATGTTCTCATTTATTCTGAGTGATCAGACTCTG